CTCTTCACACTGGTGGATCAATTCCTCATAGAGTGCATTGAAAGAGAATGGTATTATTAATTTATTTATATTTTTTAATAATTTATATACCAAAATAATAATAAAAGCTTTTTTCGTCAATTACAAAAGGAAACAAAGTTAAGAATAGATCCATCATTGAGTGAATTTTATTTTCATACACATCGGAAAAATGATCATAGTTGGGTGGGTCCTCATGCAGAATTTGCTTATGTAAGTTTTCAACTACTAATTTTTATCTCATCTGCAAATTAAATTCTTTGTTGTATATTCTAAGAGATAAATTTACACCTTTAGTCTCCTTGGACATTATGGGATTGTAATTAATTGAAGAGTAATCGTCAATTTTTCTACCCTAGGATTTGGTGCAGTTTTCAGACTAATAGACTATATGCTAATATCATTTTATTCATGTTAGCCATAACTTTCTCTACTTCAACAGTCAACATAATCGATTAATTAAAGCATTAGTTAATTAAAAGGAATCAACTTCGTAGGATTATACTCTTGTTAATAAACCAGATGGATATTGCATGATGGTCTTGACTTGTGGAATCAACTTCGTAGGCTCTAGGATGGTCCTGGATAACCAGGAGAACCAGTCCATGGTTGATTAAGGTTGATGGTTGTGAAACAATGAGGGTGGTTCATGTATAATGTGATGTAGTTGTAGCTGTTGGCTTGTTTATTTTGAGGTTTGAGGAGGGTGTTGGGATTTTCACTACAAGAAAAAGTTAAATTTCCCACGAATAATTTCCCACGGATTTATCCGTGGGAAATTCTGTGAATTTTTTATATTCAAAATTGTATTAAATAATTATCTAGACCAAGGAGATCTCTGTTTTAGTTTCAGCTACTGTTTATTCAGGTACGAGGGAAAAATGGATTATTTGTATGTAGAGTTACATGAGGGAATTAGGTAGAGGAAGAGTCCCTTAAGATTGTTAGTAATTTATAGTTCTAGAGGTCTTTCAACCTTATTAGGAGTAACTCGAACAAAATATGGTGTGTACATAACCCATTAGTAAAAGCCCAAATAATTAACCTCACATATTTGAATTTAAAAAGATAATTAACAATTATTATTTTATCAAATCACTCAAGATATTTTATTCCCTGCTTAATTAATTAGAAAATATTTATTAATGAAATTTGAAAATAAAGATTGGATGTTAGACTCAAAATCTAATTTGGGTATTAAAAAGGTACATAGTTGTGCACAAAATAAATATGGTTGTGCTTCACTCAAATCCACATTGCACATGCATGCTTTGTAACATCCTGAACACACTATAACGAAAGGAATTTAAATATTTGTACAAGTGTAAGATAGTGAAGTTAAGAATGACTTAAAATAATTAATTTGGATTAGAAAAGATGATTGATTCAAGAGGGGGAGAGGGGGTGAATTACATTTGTTAAAAAAATTTTACAACTTTACTCGGATAAAAACTTTTCTTAATATTTTTAGCTAAATCAAATGGTTCTAACCTTATTGGAATAAATGCATTGAGAGAGTTTTGGGTTCAAGAGGAGCAACATCTGTCCCTTTCTCTTTACTAGTGGGTTTTCTAGAGGACATGGTTTGTGATTTAGAACATAATTCAAAGAAGATGAAAGAAAAGGAAGAAAATGAAAGAAATTACGCAAAGCGGTTGAGGGAAGTTGAGAAAAGAAAGGCATTGAGAAGTTACTCTTGAATTTCCTTTTCAAATTGAGAGAGAAAGAGAAGCAATTTTAATTTCTTGAGTGATTTCCAAAAAGTAACCATTGGGATTATAATAGTAACATTTTTGTTAATGAATCCCTAGTGACCCTATTTCCCATTTTTATTTTTAGAGTAAATTACATTTGTAACAGCCCAATTTTCACTAGGCCAAGAGCCCACTTAAGGTGGTTTAGTAGCCTAGAACGGGCCGTTCCAAATTACTAAATAGACCTACTTTTGGTAGTCCGGAATAGGCTGTTCCAGATTTGGAACGGGTCGTTTAAAACCATTAAAATTGCCTATGATTCTTAGTTGGGAACGGGACGTTCCGGTTTTCAGAAATGGCCTTTTCACCTAATTGAGAACGGGTCGTTCCAGAGTTGAGAACGGACCGTTCCAAAATATGACCGTTGTAAGTATTAAATGCACCCCAGAGCGGGCCATTATGGTTTGAGAACGAGTCGTTCTGGATGTGATTTTTACTCGTGGTTTAAGGGTCCATAACGGGCCATTCTGGATTTGGAATGGGCCGTTCTAGAGATATCTGATCCTATAAATAGAGCACCCTGGCACTCCCAAAAGCACACTTTTCACTTCTCTCTTCTTTTCTTCTTTGCTCTCTTATTTTCCTTCTACACTCTCTAAAGACCGAGAGGCACTCAGAGGAGGAGACCAAGGAGATCTCTGTTTTAGTTTCAGCTACTGTTTATTCAGGTACGAGGGAAAAATGGATTATTTGTATGTAGAGTTACATGAGGGAATTAGGTAGAGGAAGAGTCCCTTAAGATTGTTAGTAATTTATAATTATTTATGTTTGAAGAATTATTGGTCTTATGTGATTCTGTATGAATTTAGGATTATGAATATATATTTAATTTGTAAAAATGATGATTTGCTGGGAAAATCCGTCGGAAAGTTACCCACGGATAAAAATCTATCGGTAAATATTTCAGACGAGCAATTTTCCGACGGATTAGTGTCCTTCGGTAATCCGTCGGAAATGCACTATTACCCACGGATTTTTGGCATTTCCCACGGATTTTGGCCGTCTGTAATAGCGAATTTTCTTGTAGTGTTTATAAGGGAAAGATGAAGAGGAGGTGGTGGAGAGTTATGAGTAGAGTCAATGCATAAATGTGGCGGGTAAATGGTTATTTATTTTCATTTTATTGATTATGCTTTCTTCTTTCTAGTTTATTGTTTATTTGTTCATTTTTTTTTCCTTTTTTGGATGGTGGTTGACACAGAGTGATAGTAGCCAAGAATATGTGGGAATTTGTCATTTTCCCATGGAAAAAAGACTGTTGTTGGTGGTTAATTAACTAATATGAGAAAAAAAAATAATTTCATTAGTTCAAATAATAATAAGACTCCTTCTCTTTAAATAAAGTTTTGAGTTCAAGATTGATCGGATAAGAAAATAAAATTTTATTAAAAATAGTTTAGTTTTGAGAAAAAATTAGTTATGTTCAATTTAAGTTTTAATATGTAAGTTTAGACAATATAACCTATCTTTATTAGTCTAATAGATATAGTCTAGTCTATCCCATCTTATAAATTAGATTGAGTTAAAGGTGGAAAGGGATTATACTTTTTTCTGTGGAAAAATATCCTCTCTCACTGTGTTAGGGGCATATAGGCCTGGCTGAGAGATGCCCAACCTCGGAAAAGAAGTGAAATGTGTATACTAAGAGAATTAATATAATAAAGGGCCATTAAGGAAATTAGGTGCTTGCATATATTTAGGAGTGTTGCCCCTATGAACGACAATTAAGTTTTATTCTTTATGCTTTAACTGAATCAGACAGTTGTAAGGAGAATCTCCTTGGACAGCTACACAATAATACTTAATCTCAAGTTTTCTTAATCAGAGAGCAAATTATTATATTAGAATTCAATCTCCTATTTATCCAATAAGACAAAGAAACTATAATATATATCTATATATATATATATATAGTAATTAGTAATTTGTAAATCATTTATTAACAAAAAAAATGATTTGCAATGTTATGATCGATGCATTTCTCAAAAACATGGAGTGACCATGTCCTTTATTTTTATCATACATTTTATCATTTTTATCTATTTGTTATTGATGGTTAAAACTGATTACATGTAGGACAAGTTTCAGCAAAGAAAAATTGAGATATCATCTCAAAATTCAAGAGAGGATGGAGTAGATGGTCAATCATCCATAGATCATATGCCATCTGACTTAGACATTTGGGTAGATGTGGTTGGGAAAAAAAGGGAAGGATCCTTGGCCTTGGGTCCGTAGGAAGAACATTAATTACATCATCAAAATTTTCTAGTAATTTTGAGGATGATGGTGCTTTAAGAAGTCAAATTCAAGCACTAAATGAATCACTACAAAGACAAGAACAAGAAAAATTAGAAATGAGGCAAGATTTGTATAAACAACAAGAAGATAAACTAGAAATGAGACAAGAATTACCGAGACTAAGAAACAATTAGCAGGATTTGTTGGTTCTTGTTCACATTCACCATTGTCAACTCAACATAACAATGAAAGTGATGACGAAGATGATGAAGATGATGGTGATAAATATAGTGATCATATTGAAGGTGATAGTTGATGCTTTTTCATTCTTTGAAAGTGGATTTTACTTTAATATCTTCAATTTTTTAATTTACTTTTTATGCAGGGCATGGTAGATTATAGGTGCAAGTTATGGTGGATTGTAGATACAATTTGACTCTAGTTCGTGGTATATCATGCATACATTATATCATTTATTTTTTAGTACATGGATTTTGCGTTGACATATTCATTTTTTCATTTATTTTTATGCAGGGCATGGTTAATTGTAGGTACAAGTTATGGTTGAATATAGATACAAGTTGATTTTACTACATGGTAGATCATGCATATGGTATATCATTTATTTTTCAATACATGGTATTTGCAGATTATGTAGAACTAAATATATTTTGTTTGTCTTTTGAGTTGTTAGGATGTTTTTTTGGATATGTATTTCCAGACTAAGCCAAGTATTACCATATTTTCTGTATTTTTCGTACTTGTCTATGTATCTGCCTTATCACTTTTTCACTTTTCACTTCCTCAAACCCCGACGTATCACTTTCGTTCCACTGTGTATGCGTTCACAATAACTTTACGAGAATCTAGGAATGGGAAGTGGTGTGAAAAGCACTGGTAGGGAAATGCTATTTGGTTAGAATGTGTCAAATCAGATTTTAAAAATTACAGTTTTGATCCTTTGCTTAATTGTTAAATGTGACAGGAACAAGGTGTATTCATTCAGGAGGAGAAATGATTGAACTTGACTGAAATTAATCTAGGTCTTAAATCTTGTTTATCCATTTCATGATGGTGGAACAAAATAGGGAGATTTGGTTAAATGTGAAAACTAAGTGGACGTAGATCCAGGAAAAATAGGTATCCCATTAAGACGCGAAACACTTTGGCCATTGCTATTGTTATTTATTCCATCACTGCTTCCATGAGCTCCAATAATCGATGAGATTTTGTTTCCTTCGTAGGTTGTTATTAATATCGTCATGTCTTTCATGCATCTTTGCACCTTTACAATCATATAGTTTCTTATTCATAATAAGAAAGTTATCTGGTATAAAAAAAATGAAACAACTACAATTAGTGTTGCCACTTATTTGATTGCAATCATATTAAAATTTCCTGCGGATTACAATTTGCAGGAAAAGTCGTAGGAAAGTTTCCCGTAAATTTTCATTTTTGCAAGAATTTCTTACCACTTTAAAAATTGGCAGGTAACTTTTCTACGATTTTTCTTACTGTTTTAAAATTCATAGAAAATTTTGCTACAAATTTAAGGTCCATAAAAAAGTATCTACACATTTTTCTGCAATTTTTTTCATAGGAAAGGTTACTTGTGGAGTTTTTTACAGCAAAATCCACAGGAAATATTTAAAATATAATTTTTCTTGCCAAAATTCCCTGCAAAAATTTATTATTTTCATGCAAAAATTATTCACAAAAAATTTCTTACGAATTTTTAAATCCGTGAAAAATGAGTTATCATGAAGGTTTTACCTGTAAATTTTAATTTGCAGAAAATTTTTCAGGTAACTTGTTTCCTGCGAATTTTTGAGGAAAATTTGCAAGAAAATCCTCAACTAATAAGACAAATTCTAGTAGTATAACTCACATATGTTTTGTTATTTATAATTCCAACATACTCAACTCAAGGTTTTGATTTTACATAGAGTGTTAATTGTGTTGTATTATCTTTGTAATCCACATTTCAGTTTCTAATTTACTCTTTTGTCATCGGCTTTTTCATTTCAAACGTAAGAATGTGCCTAGCTTCCTGAGGAACTCAACCTAACCTCTAAAAACTGGTTTTGTTTGTGTGGTCAGAAAAATGTATTTAGAAGTCCAAATCTACCTAAGATCACATTCTTTGTTTGGGAAGTAGTTTTAAATAAAATTATTTTTTAGATACAAAAAAAAGTATTTCTCGACCAGCCACTTTTGTATGAAAGGAAATTAATAATTTATATTTTCAATTCAAATTTACTTGCAACAATACCCCAATAGACCTTGCCTCTTCATTGACATAAGACCCATCTTTTTCTTGTGAGTTACAATGTATAGTTCACCTCGACCCACAACACGTCCAAGCTCTTGTTCCTAATAGAAATGACAATGTAGCTCTAAATGAACAATATAAATAATTCTTTATTAAAGCTCAATAATTGAAGACAAATGTTTACCATCTCATGTTGTTTCGTAGACAACAATTTTGCACCATCGATATGTGGAATCGTTTGCTTTTTTCTTACTTTAGTATTTTTTTTGCACAATTCCTATGAAAAAATAATTTATTTATTAAAACGTCAAGATAAAAAAATAATTTATTTATTAAAACGTCAAGCTAAAAAAATAATTAATGGTCACAAATATTTGTTAAAACTACCTGATAATTTGGCCTTAGATGATAGTAAACAAATGATGACCATTGATCTTTATGAATACCATTAGGAACTTTAGTGATTAATTGTTCTCTAGACAATGAAGGGTCATAAACACGGTTCCACATATTCATCTTTGCATTCCTATACTTTCTTGACATGGCAAGTGAACAATAATGCTTAGCAATCAATTCTGAAGCCTGAAAAATGAAATAGATTCTTTAAACAAGAAGAAAAACACATGTTAGTATATCATAATTACAAAAAACATGACCATAAAATTTGACTTAAGCATGTACCTTTAAAGTGTTAAAGCAATCATCCTTATATGATTTTGGAACTTTTATCCAATTGTCAAAGTTAATGGGAATATTTTTTGAATCAATGGAAATGCGCCACAAGCTCCTAAAAGAAGTGTCGTTGCTTTTCCACAGGCTCATTTTTTCCTATCAAATGACACAACTATACGTTCACCACGTGGCATCTCAAATACTCCTGGTTTTGTCAACCTAGTCTTTTTTGTATTTCCTTGCTCGTCTATCAAAATATGACATAGTTTATGTTGGGATACAAACAAGTCCCACATCGATAAAATAAAACAAGAAATAACAACTTATATAACATAAACATACTTCAATGATTGAGAGGCCTTTTAGGTGATGACCAAAAGAAAAACCGTGAGGGTTAAGGCCCAAAGCAGACAATATCTCATCATTGTGGAGTATGCTTGTGTAATAACCTTATAAAAACAACCCTTATAAAATATCCCCTCAGACAAATACCATAACATAATCCATCAGTGGTATCAGAGCGGCAGGTTGGATTCGATGACAACCAATAACCCTTACAAAAAAAATGATAATGATAATGTGATATATAAAGACAGATTCTACTGCATGAAAGGTTAGGTCCCTTGTTTGAGGGGAGGATTGTTGGAATACAAACAAGTCCCACATCGATAAAATAAAACAAGAAATAACAACTTATATAACATAAACATACTTCAATGATTGAGAGGCCTTTTGGGTGATGACCAAAAGCAAAACCGTGAGGGCTAAGGCCCAAAGCGGACAATATCTCATCATTGTGGAGTATGCTTGTGTAATAACCTTATAAAAATAACTATCATAAAATATCCCCTCAGACAAATACCATAACATAACCCCATCAGCTTATATAAAAGTTTTCGATGGGTACTTAACAAATATAAGAAGTTTTCATAAGAGATATAATTGTTGTATAGTAAAATAGAAAATAATGTTACCTATAACCTGCGCAGTCCATACCCTACTTTACTCACAACCTACACGTGGTCGTTGAGTAGGTGCAAGCGACTGCTCGAGAGGAACCATAGGAGGAATATGCGGCTGTTCAAGAGGAGCCATGGGACGAAATATGCGACTGTTCAGGAGGAGCAATGGGAAGAATATGTGACTGTTCACGAGAATTCATGGGAGGAATATGTGGTTGTGAAAGAGAAGCCATAGGTGTAATGTATGGTTGTTGAAGATGAGCTATAGGAGGAATATGTGGCTGTTGAGGAGGAGCCATAAGAGTAATGTATGGTTGTTGAAGAGAAGTAGGAGAAATATGTTGCTGTTGACGAGGAGCCATAGGTGTAATGTGTAGTTGTTGAAAATGAGTTATAAGAAGAATATGTGGCTATTGATGAGTACGAGCCAAATGAGGGATGAAAGAATGTCTTTCAGATGCTTCTTTTTTAAAATGCTTGAATTTAGGATGCATGACTACTGTTGAGTACAACTTTGGACCTGCAATAAAAAGTAGGAATTAAAAGAATTCTTCTAAAGACAACCATATTTGTTTAATAAGAATGGAAATTCACCTTTAAAATAAATATTCAGCAAACAACTAGTATTAATAATAGGTAAAAACTAACAATTGTGACTCTTTAAGCACACCAAACAACTGCAATAAGAGTTTAACAAGAGAAATTAGAATATAACAAGAAAGGTAGCAACAATGTTTAAATTAATGAGTAAAAATTGAAAACAAAGCTACCAAAATCTAATTCTTACCATAAAATAAATTAGTTTGTGATATTTTCTTAATTATTCAATTATATTTGCATCTCCTTGAAATTGGTTTTCATCATCTACCTCATCCCTTGCCAAGGTTATTGTATATGTTTCATTTCATGTCCTGCTCATGATATGACTCACTTTCAAATATAATATCTTCTCCAACATCTCCCATATCATACAAATCTCTTGGCATCATGTGGACAACAACACTCCAACGTTTATTTATCTCATCATCAACATAATACACCATTTGTGCTTGTGAAGCTTTAATATAGGGGTCATGTTCTTCACGTTCACCTGTGTGAATACAGTGAGAAAAGTTCACTAAAGTAAATTGGCAAGCATCCTTTCTAATTCCTCTTGGGCGTGTAATATCTGCCCATTTGCATTTAAAGAGAACAACTCTAAGAAAACCATAATAATTAAGCTCAATAATGTCTTCCAACTTCCCATAATATGGCAAATCTGCTAGCCTTAAATTTGCATTAGAGCTACTTGCAACACATGATGTGTTTGAAGTTAGAAAAACTCCATTATTTTGAGTTTTTAAGCCTTCATCTCGTTTTATGGTTTGAAACTTGTACCCATTGATGTTGTATGTTGTATATCTTCTTACAATTGACATTGGGCCCCTAGCTAAATACTTTATTTCACCTAGCACTACAGCCGTAATGTCTGAATTTGTAACCTAATTAGAGATTGTGTTAGTCACATAAGTACATTGTAATTTTCACATGAAATTAGTTTTTAACCCGATGAAGAAACCAACTCGCAAATTCTTTACCAACTATCTTTTCTAACTCTATAGTTGAAATCCTTCGATTTCTTGTCTTCCTCTTAGTTAATATTTTGAAATCACTACCATAAAAGAATATCATGTTAAATCACTACTATAAAAGAATATCACATACAATATATTTAAATACTTACTCCACATATGACTGAACTTTTGGACAATTTAGTAATAAATATCGATGTGCTTGTGTTTTTTCCAATGGGGTAAGAATGAAAGTTAATGAGCTTCCCACTAGTCTACCTAACTGAGGATAAATGATTTGAAATGTTTCATTATCATTAGGACGATCATCAACACGTCGACTTCTATTCAACCTTGACTCAACTTCTTCATATAGTGAGTAAATATTATAGTCTCTTCGGCCAAATAAGCTTCACTTATAAAACCTTCTGGTTATGCCCTATTTGTACAAAGGACTTCAAACGTCCCAACATCCTATCATAAAGGAAATAATAATTATTTAAAATACTCTTTAAAAATGTGAGATAAGCATAAAAAAACACATTTACCTCACAATTGGATACATCCAATGATAATACACTAGCCCTTCCAAATTCACTTCTTCAACAAGATGACAAGTTAAATGGATCATCACTATAAAGAATGATGGGGGTAATAGTATTTCCAAATGACAGAGAGTGAGCACAATCCGATATTGTAGCCTGTCAAGATATAATATATTCAATCTTTTACAACATAACTCCTTGAAAAATGAGCAAAACTCTACCAACACTGTAATCACACTATCAGGTAAAACATTACGTATAGCTAGTGGAAGTAAATGTTGCATGAGGATGTGGAAATCGTGACTCTTCAACCCAAATATCTTAGAGTTTTGATCATCAATGCAATGAGATATGTTACTAGAGTAACCATCTGGCATTTTTACATTCTTTAATGTAGTGAGAAATATCTTCTTCTTTTTTGCTTTTGTCATTGAAAACAATAAAGGAAGATATTTTCCATTTTCATTTGGCCAAAGATCTTCTTTTATTCCCATATCTTGTAGATCTTGATGAGCTTCAAGGTAATCTTTTGATTTTTCATCTTTAATCAATGTATACAACACATTGTCACAAACGTTTTTCTCAACATGCATGACATCAAGATTATGTAAAAGATTATCCTTCTAGTAAGGCAGATTAAAGAATATGCTTTTCTTTTTCCACTTCTTTGGTCTATTTTCTTCACGATTTCGTTTTCCTTTACTATTTAACTCAAGGTCTTTTAAATAATTATCAATTTGCTTCAAAATTTATAACCCAGATAATAATCTTGGTGCATCCCTTTCTTCAATTGTGCCATCAAAATGATTTTTCATCAATCTAAACTAATGACCCCTCTCCAAAAATCGTCGATATCCCATAAAAACACCATTTATAACTACCTCTTAATCGACGAGAAAAAGTATCAAAATTACAAGTCGGAGATGCATACCCAGTATAAGTATTCCACCCAAATAAAGTACAAAGTTCAAGAAAATCACTGATTGTCCACATGAGAGTTGCTCGCATAGTGAACCTTTCTTTTAGAGAAGAATCATAAGTTTCCACACCTTCAACCCATAGCTCATTTAGCTCTTTGATTAAAGGTTGTAGGTACACATCAATCTTATCCCTAGGCATTTTTTTACCTGGGATGATCATAGAAAGAATCAAAGAAGTTTGTTTCATGCATTCCCAAGGAGGTCGATTGTATGGAATTAGAATTATTGACCATATACTATAGCTATTACCCAGGGTTCTATTTGGGTTGAAACCATAAGTTGCAAGACCAAGGCGAACATTTCTAGGTTCTAAATTAAGCAAATTTAGGGTGAAATTGATCAAAATACTTCCATGCTTTTCCATTTCTTGGATGCCTCAATAATCCATCTGGGTTACTATTTAAAGCATGCCATCTCATGGACTTTGCTGTTTTGGAACACATAAATAACCTTTGCAACCTTGGTTTTAAGGGAAAGTATCGTAAGACCTTTGCTAGTAGTTTCTTTTTACCATTAGTACCTTTTTGTTTTCATCTAGATTTTTTATAGTTTGCAAGTCTCTAAATTTTTATCTTCCCCCAATATAACATGCAATTTCTTGGGCAAACATCTATCTCAATATAATTGAGACCAAGCTTGTAAATCACTTTCTTAGCCTTATAAAATGAATTAGGAATGTTTTCATATTCAAATGCATCATTCAATAACTCTAAAATCACTGTCATCACCTTGTCGGTCACACCATATAAACATTTTATATGATACAACCTTAATAGAAAAGATAACTTTGAGTACCTTTCACACCCTTGATACAATTACTAGTTACAATCTCTAAGCAAATCATCAACTTTCTCATTTCCTTCATCAATTGTGGTGTCTACAAACTCAGATGGTCATTCATATATATCATGTTCCACATTAGTGTGTCTATTGATCCCAATGCATCATTTATCTTATTTAACACTGGATTTTCATTTTCCAACGGCTCGTCTATTACTTCAGTGTCCCTTGATGCCATTATTTCATATGCTTCACCATGCCATATCCAAGAATTTTAATTTTTTGGAAATTTCTTACAAATCAAGTCGTCAAACACAACATCTCTAGTTTTCCATTTACTAAAATGACATTTAAGACATGGACACCTTATTGCACCATTGACAGATCGATTTTTAAAAGAAAAATCTAAGAATTTATTTAATCCATCTAGATATTCTATTGTATTCCTTGGCATATCAATCCATGATTTATCCATTACTACATCCATCTGACTAGTTTCAAGAAGAAGAAAAAACTAGATAAGTAAATTAATTTAAAAAATGGCATATATAAAAATAAAAACTAGATAAGTAAATTAATTAAAAAAAATGGCATATATAAAAATGAAAATTAGATAAATAATTTAAAATATATAAAAAAGGAATTAGAG